ACAAAAAACACCACAAACACACACACACACACACACACACACACACACACACACACACACACACACACATACCCACACACACACAGCAGTACGCAAAAAGAACCATCCTCCTCTTCAACCACGGGTATGGAGTTCCAGGAGGCGGAAAATCAACGGTTGTACTACAAAGCCCGGTCATCTGTCGCAGGAAGACCTACTCGTACCGACCACAATACGTGTATGTATAACGCCCGATAATTCATGATCTTGGCATAATATCGGGAGCCTGTTAGCAGACTCGCGAACGCTTCCAGTTTCTCCGGCGAGATAAAGCAATTACTAATAATTGGTCGCTTTTAACTTATTTAAGTACAAGGGGGCCCTCCCGGAAAATGCTGTCTTGAGAAAATCGAAGGTGAAGTTTTTGGACCCTTGTTCAATTTCTTTATAAAAGACAAGGCGACTTTTGTCTATAACCAAACAAATATACACACCAATGAAACCAAACTTCTCCTATTGGTAGGGCAATGCCCACGTTTGGTGTAGGTCAAAATTTCTGGAAACCCCCAAATCTGGGTTAGTTTAGTTTTAGCAGAGGTTTTACGGCGCTCGCAACTGCATAAGGTCATATGAGCGCCAGAAGATTAGAGGTGATACAAGAGAGTAACTAACATATTAAAAAAGAAGGGGAGATAAAGACGATGGATTTTTTGGGGGGAAAGAAGAAGCAAACCACACCAGAGCACCCGCCAACCACCCCCAAATCTGGGTTATCCCGCTTGTCCTTAAAAGCGACCAATTAGCATATTGGTACCTACAACTAACAGAGCGCATTAAACAGTCGCTGAAGTTATTACAGTCGGGGATATGTTAATGGGAAACAAAATTGAAATGATATGGATCTAATTTGGTAATGTAATGAGCATTGTGGTACCACATTATGCTTCTGTGTATCCGTGGATAGGTATTTAACCCCTTCACTGCTGAAAAATTTCCATCAACATCTGTACCTAGAAGGTTAAATGTTAATTCAAGGAATATTTAAACTCAGAGAATGGTTTCAGAATAAGCAAAATCACAAGCTGTAACTAAAACAACTAAAACATGTGTCAACCAGATGAAACAATACGAGTGGAGAATACAAGCCAGAACCTACGTCTACCCAGCAGTGAAGAGGTTAATACTATAATATTTTAGTGTTTCCAAGACCGTTGACCCACATCGCTTAACTGAAGCATGCAGATTAGAAATAAGACACTTTCGTGAAGCTTGGATATCTCTATTCTGTTATCCCCCAAAAAATGAAGTAAATAAAATTAAATTAAATTAGATTTTAAAAATCAACGTTTGATACTGGAGCAGGTTAGATCATATATCATAGGTATAGGATGTTTGGGCGAGAGGGTAAACACCCACGGCACGTACAAAAACCCCCACCAAACCAGATAACTATCTGTCTACCCATCTATTTGACCATCTATTAAATAACCGTCTATCCACCTACTTTTCGCCTTATTCTGTCTGTCTGTCTGTCTGTCTGTCTGTCTGTCTGTCTGTCTGTCTGTC